GGAGAGTGGGTAGCTGCCCGCTGAGCCCAGGGTAAGTTTGAAACATCTCTGACGGCGTGGCTGCTATGTTTCAGTGCAACCACGCCAGCAGAGATGTCGGGAGCTGTGACAGGAATAAAGAGCAAGAAACAAAAAACTTGTGGATTTTACAAAGCATAACTGCACTGTCATGAAATTAATACGTAATACTATTGCAGGCTTAATATAGCATGAGGATAATGCCACTGGGTTCAAACCATATAATAAACAAACTAGGTCTCTGCATTTCAGATATGTAAAATTGTAACTTGAAGTAGGGTAGTCTGCCCAGATTGGTCAGTCGATGCCAGTAGGCCAGGTTGGGTAGAATATGTCAATGCCGGAATTGTTTCCTTCTCCCCTTGCCTTCACCCTTTGTTATACAAGTGTGCAGGTCTGAAGTAATAACAGTGGAGACAAACCCTGGTACCAGATCTGCTCTATACCTCCAGCCTAGGCTTTAATAGGTGCCAATACCTTGTGTCCAGTAATCCTCTCTGTCTTGGCAGGAGGTTCGTAAGCCTGTGGAGGTTGTAAGGGAACAGGGCGATGATGCAGTCGTTGGGAGCCACATGACTGAAGTAGGCTGCCTCTCCCAACAGGTCACAGGACAAAATGGTCAGATTGGGAGCCAGAGTGAGGGTTTTTAGGTCTAACAATGACGGCTCTGGTGAGTGACGAGTTTGCTGGTCGCTTAGCACCGTTTCCAAGGTTGGTGTAGACAGTGTAACCCATCTAGGAGCTCTTTTGTGCGGGAGCTACTCGTAAACACGTCCAGCCATCTTGGCGGTCAGGCCCCACCCCCAACCACAAAAATATTTTAAGCATCCTGATTCCCCATAGGAAATTATGCATTATGCTTTCCTATGGGGTTTTAGGTGACGCTGCACATCCCCATGCATAGCGTGAGGACGTCCAGTATCAGGCATCACCTGGTAGACAGCCACTAGAAGTGGAGAAACCCACCAAGCTAATTATTGCAGTTTCTTAAGTAATCAAGATTTGATCGACAGCCGAAACAACACAGCAACACCATATGGATAGCAATAATGGACTGATTGTGGGGTGTATTTAAGAGGGAGGGAGGGGGATACTTTTATGCATTTTTGTACTTGTCTATTGAACAAGAAGCAGTCCCTGGGGAAGTCACTGAGTGGGATGGAACGCGTTGGATAGCTTTTATTTGTATTTGATGCGGACTGATTTTTACTTCTGTGTAAGTAATAAATATATTTTTATACTATACTTCAATCTACTTTTACCTTATTCTGGATGCACTTTGTTTTACATGCTTCTAAGACCTGCAATATTAACTACTAAGAGAAAGACACAACTTGAGATCTCCAATGATTGCTGAATGACCTTTTTATTCAATCAAATAATTACCTTATCTGGGTTTTACAGAGTTGCACAATGTTTTATCTTTATTTCCCCTAGTTGGATCTACCCTTTTTTGTTTGCATATTTGTTAAAGATTTGAGATCTTCGGGTTATATCCATTACTAGAAGGGAAGTTTTATATATATATACATACACACACACATTTTCTATAAGCACCTATAACTCACTTGAACACTATATTGTTTAATTGGTGTGACTTTATAGCAAATATTGCATTGTATTGAATAATTCATTGTCTGTGATATAGTGATAGATTTTGAAATTTATTTTAAGACCAATAGTACCTGTCCAGCTGTTGAAGTACAACAAAATCATAGCAGTTGTAATCCAGCGTTCAGTGGATCTTCCCATGCATATGAATTGATGTAAAGTGGGGAAAATTTAATGAATTATGACACTATATGTGCCTAAAGATTTAATGATGATATTTGGTCATGGTTCCTGCATGTTGCCAACTGAAAAGCTACAAGTCTTAAAGGGACACTTTAGTCACCAGAACAACTACAGCTTATTGAATTTGTTCTGGTGAGAAGAATCATTACCTCCAGGCTTTTTGCTGTAAACACTGTCTTTTCAGAGAAAATGCTGTGTTTACATTACAGCCTAGTGATAACTTCACTGGCCACTCCTCAGATGGCTGTTAGAGATCCTTCCTGGGTCATGGCTGCCTACAATGCATCCAAACATTCAGTATCTCCTCCCTCTGCATACAGACTCTTGTATGTACGTAGTGGGCAATCGCGATGCAGCCTAGCACTAATCTAAATCCATTTACCCCCCCCAATAACGACAGACCACTTAGTATGGATGAACAGGCCACAGCATTTATTATCACAAACCAAATTACTGCATAACACATCCATAGCTTTGTTTATTAAATCTCTTCTTTCTGTAACCAAAAGGTTAGACATAAATAAGCATAAATTAACATATATACATATATAACTCCACCCATAGTGTTATACAGTGACCCAACCGTCCTTGCCAATAAACATACATACAGTGGTTCCTAATCACCACTTTGTCTCACCTCCTCCCTCGTCATAAAAATCATATATTTCCAATGCCCGCCATCAGCCGTCCTTATCCACGCTCGATGGGCACGACACCTCAGGCAACCTAATGTTTAACCTTTTAAGCAGGGGAGGTTGAGACCTAAAAAACTTGTTCATCTCATTCCATATACTTAAACGTAACCACTTAAAAACTCAATTGGCAAGGACATACCCCCGGCTAGCTGTGACAAAATATACCAATAGGGCGGGCGAGAGGGAAACGGTTTGCTGGCCCGAATCCCAAGTGGCACTGAGGTAAGACCTCCCCCACACTAACTTACACAGAACATAATCCCACCCACACACTCTTTCCCAACCAATCTCCTGCATCTATCCCCACACTCCTACATGTGCCCTTGTCCGCTTAGCTGCGCTATCTCACCAGGGCCTGAACTTTCCTCATAGAGATTCATTGATTTAATTCATCTCTATGAGGAGATGCTGATTGGCCAGGGCTGTGTTTGAATTATGCTGGCTCTGCCCCTGATCTGCCTCTTTATCGGTCTCAAGCAATCCTATGAGGAAGCACTGTGATTGGATCAGGCTACCACATGTCAGCAGACTGCTTGTTTTTCTGAGTCTAACAACATGCAAATTTACAGCTTCAGGCTTGAATACAGTAAGATGTTTACTATATTTATGGAGGCATGAGGGGCCCAGCGGGGCTAGATGGTGGTGTTAACACTATAGGGTCAGGAATACACGTTTTTGTTCCTGACCCAATAGTGATCCTTTAAGAAGCTAAGTGTGGAAATAAGTTAGCCTCTGTTTTTAATCTTTCAGGATTCTTTTATTTTGGAAATTATGCTGGAGGATTGGAGCAAGGTAGATGTAATTCCTATATTCAAAAAGGGTTCAACATATTTGAATGGAAAATATAGGCCTGGGAGCTTTACTTCTGTTGCTGTTATAGTATTTGAAGGTTTATGAAGGACAATTTTCAGGAATTCATTGGGAAGAACATTATCAGCAAAAATCAACATGGTTTTATAAAACATAGGTCTAACTAACTTGATTGCATTCTACATAGAAGAAAGTAGAAGTATAGATCAAGGTGTTGCAGTGGATGTGATCTACTTGGATTCCCCCAAGACGTTTGATATGGTTCCACACAATAGGTTAGTGTTCAAACTAAAATAAATTGTGAAAAAAATGTAATTCCCCTCGAGCTCTAACATGATACTGTGATAGGATGCCACCTTTGCAACAAGTCAGTTTGTGAGATTTCATCCCAGTCAACTGTAAGAGCTATAATTGAAAAGTGGAAGCGTTAAAGGACCACTCTAGGCACCCAGACCACTTCAGCTTAATGAAGTGGTCTGGGTGCCAGGTCCAGCTAGGATTAACCCATTCTTTTATAAACATAGCAGTTTCAGAGAAACTGCTATGTTTATGAATGGGTTAAGCCTTCCCCCAAAGCCTCTAGTGGCTGTCTCATTGACAGCCGCTAGAGGCGTTTGCGTGCTTCTCACTGTGAAAATCACAGTGACAGCACGCAAGCGTCCATAGGAAAGCATTGTAAATGCTTTCCTATGCGACCGGCTGAATGCGCGCGCAGCTCTTGCCGCGCGTGCGCATTCAGCCCAGGAGGAGGATCGGAGGAGGAGAGCTCCCCGCCCAGCGCTGGAAAAAGGTAAGTTTTTAACCCTTTCCCTCTTCCAGAGCCGGGCGGGAGGGGGACCCTGAGGGTGGGGGCACCCTCAGGGCACTATAGTGGTCCTTTAAGGAAAGGTATTGCAAAGGTAGCATACTGTACGGTGCTTGATTTTATACACCTGTGGCAATGGGCAGTGCATGGGCGTCCGCAGGGGGGGGAAAGGGGGGGCACTTGCCCCCCCCCTGGATTTTTCAGCTTGTTCTGCTTTTTTCGTGTGAGATTTAAAATGAACTGCAATACCGGAGCATGGAGAGAGACAGGGACAGGAAGCTGCAACTTATCCCTGCTTCTCTCTGCTGATTAAAAACCTCAGGGGAGCAACACATGCAGCCAGAGACAGCCTACAGATCAGGTAAGTGGGGGATGGGGGGGAGGGTTTGAGAGGGGGGCAGCAGCCTATAGATTTGGGAGGGGGGCAGCAGCAGATAAATTTGGGGGCAGCAGCCCATAGATTTGGGTGGGCAGCAGCCTTTAGATTTGGGTGGGCAGCAGCCTTTAGATTTGGGGGGGCAGCAGCCCATAGATTTGGGGAGGGGGGCAGCAGCCTATAGATTTGGGGGCAGCAGCCCATAGATTTGGGGGAGGGCAGCAGCCTTTAGATTTGGGGGCAGCAGCCTTTAGATTTGGGGGCAGCAGCCCATAGATTTGGGGGGGGCAGCAGCCCATAGATTTGGGGAGGGGGGCAGCAGCCCATAGATTTGGGGGGGCAGCAGCCTATAGATATATAGAAATGAACAGGAAGGGTCAGCAAGGAGCTGGAAGGTAAAGCAGCACAAAGGTAAAGTAGAAGGAGCAGAAAGGGTCAGAAATGAGCTGGAAGGGGCAGAAGGAGCACAAACATAAAGTAGGAGAATGAGCAGGAAGGGCCTGCAAGGAGCAGGAAGGAGCAGAAAGGGTCAGAAATGAGCTGGAAGGGGCAGAAGGAGCACAAACATAAAGTAGGAGAATGAGCAGGAAGGGCCTGCAAGGAGCAGGAAGGAGCACAAAGGGACAGCAAGGAGCACAAAGGTAAAGGAGCAGAAAGAATCAGAAGGAGCACAAAGGTAAAGTAGGAGAAAGAGCAGAAAGGGACAGCAAGGAGCACAAAGGTAAAGTAGAAAAGGAAGCAGAAAGGGTCTGCAAGGAGCAGAAAGGGATCAGAATGAGAAAGGAGCAGAAGGGCGCAAAATAAGCAGAAAGTAGCAGAAAGGTAAAAGAACAGAAGGGGCCAAGGATAGAAAACAGTGTCAGAAGAAGAAAAAAGACTGTCAAATGAAGGAGAGGAAAAGGAGATTGGAGCAGGAAGGACAAATTAAGTGAACCCTCCACTTTATTCTGGACACCACATCATAAGGCTTTGGTACCTGGGCCTGGCAGGGAAACGCTGGACCTTCTCATCTCCAAAGGTAAAAAAATATCGTGTTAATGTGTTCACTTTTATTTACTGAGTGTCAGGAAGCACAGAGTGCCGTTGGGTAGGGGTGTTGCTGATTGGCTAGAGCGGTCAGCTGGCACTCTAAACCAATCAGTAGCTCCCCATTCATAAAAAAGTAAAAATATTTTATGAACCGGGAACTAGCGATTGGCTTAGAGCGTCAACTGACCACTCTAGCCAATCAGCGGCACCCATGCCTGACGTCAATCTGCACTTCCTGACACTCTGTTTCAGAAGCCAAATACCACTGAGCGACCTGGAGCTGGAGGAAGCCTTTGGGGTTAAACCATTTGAGAGCAATTTAACCCCTTAAAGGAAAGCGAGCACCCAGGGGCTTCCTGGCATCATAGCATTTTCATTTAGGTGAAGTTGTTATGGTGACCAGAAATGTCCTTTAATTTGCTTAAAGGAACACTATAGTGTCAGGAATACAAACCTATCTTCCTGACACCATAGTTGTGAAAACGCTATTCACCCTGGCTTTATGTGATAATGGCTATGCCCCTTCCCTTTCATGACACTGTCAAAAAGGTACCAAGCATGGATGTCATTACAATTATGCCCCTCCCTGGAAAAATTCCTGCGGACGCCCATGGGGCAGTGGTGTATTTTGGATCTGTTCCTAGGCATGACAGAACTCTGGGGGTCCGGTAGGGCGGCAAGTGAGCGCTGATTTGTGTGCTCTCTCTGCTCAGCTACCTCGCGCGCCACAGAGTGATGCCGGGAGCCGGAATATGACGTCCACCTTGGAACTCAGCTAGCCGCCTGCCACCAGGCTAACAAGGTATTTGCCTGGGCTTTTGGGGGCAGCGTTTTTTGCCGCCCCCTTGAAAGTGCCTCCCAAGTCAAATGCCTTGTTTGTCTCGCGGCAAATAAGTCACTGGCAATGGGTCATATTGACACACCTAAATTCAATAATTAAGAGGTGTGTCCCAATACTTTTGTCTATATTGGATGATTTTGAAGTCTTAATTCTAATTTTCATGGCACAGAAAACACTATATATGTGAAGATATATAAAGATCAGTGGGCGGGTGGCTTAAGGAAAAAACATATATAAAGTGAGCTTTTATTGCTTAGCCAAAGTGTCATTAGATTTATTTACATAATTGGTGGTAAATAAAAATAAAATGACCTTCCTGTACATCACATACACACTGCTTTTTCATGCAGCCCGCAATGCAATCTTTTGCAGTTATCCAAGAATGGATAGTGTGAATATCACAGTATTGAGTACCTAAACAAGCAAAACATTTTAAGCAATGCTGGCATTTTGAAAATGCTTATACATTTACTGGCTTAGTAACCTGGTCAGTGGATCTCTCCACTCTGAGTTCGTCGACCATGTAGGCAGCCACTATCATCTTTGGTACCTCCTGCATCCTCTACCTCAGACTACCCACACCTCGAACTGGCTTGGGTATAATTTTCACTAGCCGGCCTTGCTGCACGCATTGCACAGGAGGGGCAGGGTCTCACAGATGTCCAAAAATCTGGTCATGCTCCCCCCCACTCTTCCTAGCAACAATAGAGGGACACAATGCGGGGAAAAGGGAGGGAAACTTCAAAACTAATAATTAAAACGACATAACACATTTTTGATCAAACAGACAAATCTTAAAGGTGTAAATTTACACATTTAAAAAAAAAAAAAAAGTTAATAAGCCCAGCAGCCGTGAAGAACTAATTTTGAGTAAAACTATCTAGAACAAGCAAAACATACCTTTTAATACATTTAATTACATTGCATATTTTATTACTTTTCATGAATAAAAGTCACATTTTTAAGGTGCTGAAACAAAAAGCAAACAAATATGCATCCTTTAAGGAACACTAAGCAGTTGTTGAGTCACGGAGGTGGCATTTGCAGTAACGGAGATGGTGTGCAACATCATGTGGACCACAACACCGCCAAGAATGTGGTGACTACTTATATTGGGGGAAGGGGGCAGGATGCGAGGGCACTGCTTGCACCAAAAGCACTACAGCGAGCTGTGGTGGTTATGGTGCTTGAAGTGTTGGGTTTTTTTTGTTTGTTTTTTTTAAATATACCGTACAGGTCAAATGGGTTAAAATATACCATACAAGCCAAAAACCTTCATATTATACCATACAAGTAAAATATATTATGCCATAAAATAATATTATATTTGTTTGAAATATTCACACAATAAGCCACTTCCTATATACATAACAATTTTATCGAGTATGAAAGAACTCTTAACTTCTGACACTTGGCATGCTTCTATGTAAGACAGATCAAAGAGAAGATCAATTTCAAAAGCTAAGTTGAATCAAACAGAAAAAGACACTAATGTGTGATATGGTATTCCACACATGCTTGCAATACTTCAATTTCACATAACTAATATTTGTTAACTTTATAAACTGTTTACTGTTGTTATGAGATTACATCAAGGTATAACATTCCAAGCAATGACCAAAAGAGCCAAGTATTTTTGAGTGTTTAATTATTAAATAGAGGCAGCAGTGCTAAGCTGTGTCAGAAGATAAAGAAATATTTTTATTACATATTTTGTATGAATACTTTATAATAAGGAATGTAATGTTTATCTGTTTTGGCTAAATACATTTTATAGAACTTGGTTAAAAGTATAAAAACACAAAAGGATGTTAAAGGGACACTACAGGCACAATAACAACTTCATAGCAATAAAGTTGTTATGTTGAAAGGGGGTCCAAGGCGCTGGCTTATTTCAAGGGGTTAAACCGTTAACAAATGTCTTAACCCCATCAGCACTTCTATTCCAGTCCGAGGCTTTAGTTAGACATCAGTCACATAATGAAATGAGTAAGATATGTACCCGATTGAAGCCTCGGACTGGAACAGAAGTTCAGGAGCAGAGCTGGAGTCACCAATTCAAGACTTTGGGTAAGCTGGTGTTCGGAACCTTATCCTTAAACATGAATAGAGGTACACATCATAAGTACATTTTATGATACATGAACAAAAATTTTAATGAGTAGACAAGGTAGGGAATGTATAAACGGTAATTTTATTCAATGTTCCAAAATCACAAAGCTATCCTTAATGTATCACCAGCTTAAAGGGGCTTATTGTAGTGGTTGCATGCCACTGATGCCATTCCCACTCCAGTTCTGTGCCAAACTGTATGTCTTCAAGTGGTTTGACACAAATAAACTGAGGGTACAGAGTGCGTTATACTCCCACATTAGCAATAACAGTTTTGTCTATATCTGGATGGCATTTATTGGCTGACCATATCAGCTGATATCCAAACATGGACAACATGGACAAAATTGATACTTTTAATGCACATGTGTAATAGCAATATACCAACTGTCATGCTCCCCGGGGGACCTCACCTGTCCTTGGGTTCCAGTTTCATTCAGGGGGTTGGGCCATGATGGTCGTGGCTTCTGCAGCCGCCTCTCCCTGTCTATAAGTTTCCCAGTTGATTCATGTCAGCAGGACCATGTAGATGCTGATCACACCCCCTCCCCCACTACCATTAGGGTGAAAGAGTAGGTAGGTTTGTTTAATCTAAGGGGGTGCTTGGGAAACCAACCAGTGTTATCTCACTGATATTGCATAGCATGAGAAATTATCCAACATTTCCACCCCTTGTAGAATTATATTGGAACCTCCACCTACCATCAATGGGTGGGTCATAAGGTTCACATTGTTTAGCAAATAGCCCCCACATGTGTTCATTAGGATGTTCCCCCCACCCTATTTTTTTTTTGTATTAGCCCACAAGCACTAGATGGATGGGTGCACAGGGGGGCACCATATCCCACGCCCCACAAAAGTTACACAATGGATGCACTATCATGATAAAGCATTCTTACAAATAGGATTCTAATTCCCGTGGCAGATGCAGGCACAGATGAGAACTAAACATGGACAACAAGGGGGCACATAAACATAAGGGGAAGCAGGCCAGGACTGGCAATCGGGCAAACTGAGCCACGATGGCCAGGGGCCGACGCTGTCAGAGCGCCTTCCCTGCTGCATTCCATGACTAGCCGGTGGGGAGCTCAATGATCTCCCTCACCTGCCAAAGGCATTTTGCTGTGGCCGCCAGCAAGGGAGGAAGGAGGGAGTTCCCAGGAGCTCCAGCTTACAGATCTGCCGGGTTCATTCTCTCGCAAAGTCAGAGAGGGGGGACATAAAGTGTATGTTTTTTAAATTTTAAAAAACAAACATATACTATTTTAATCTACCCCCTCCCTCCTATTCACAATATCTCCCAACACACAGGCTGCACCCGACATACACACACTGCACCCCTCTCTCTCACACACACACCGCATCCAACACACTGCACACCCACCCCACACAAACACACACTGAACCACTCACACACACACGCACTGCATCCCACATACACATTGCATCCCCAACACACACACACACTGCATCCCCCACACACACACATTTCACCCCTCACACACTGCATCCAACACACTGCACGCCTCACACATTCTGAACTCCTCCCACACACACACACACCGCAACCCTCATACATACACATACACACACACACACACACACACACAATGCATCACACACACACACACGCACACACTGCATCCCTCACACACTCTTGACCACCTACACAACTCTAAGAAGGGAGGAGGGACATAAAGTGTATATTTTTTTAAATTAAAAAAACAAAACGTTATTTTAATCTGCCCACTCTTTCCTATACACAATACCTCCCAACAAACACA